ATGAGTGCGTGTGAGTGGTTACAGGAAAGGGGGCGGAGTCGCGTGGTGGGGCCAAGCGAGGACAGAACTACCTAGGCCGGCTAGTGAGAGGGATGCGAGGCTCGCGTCCTGGGCGGCCGGATACCAGCGTAGTCCACGTCGCCCAGCATGGATCTGAGCCCCGGTATTCTCCAAACGCTGCGCTCTGATTAGCTGCCCCTAGTTTGCGTCGCTCTGGAGAACTCAGTCTTCTCGTCGTCTAGGCCTAACATGCATAGCAGCTAGGATAAGGGAATAGGAGACTCATTAATGCCTTTTTATCTTTTTACTTCCACTTCCTCTTTTCATCCCCGCCTCCTCTAACCCTCCTCCTTCTCTTTCCTCTTCCTCCTCACTTTCTTCTTTTCTCCTTTCTTCCCTGGAGATTGAATCTAGAGCCTTTCCACTGAGCTACATCCCCAGCCAGCTCTACATCCCCTACCCCTGCCTTTTTTGTTTTTCATTTTTAAGCCACTAAATTGCCCAGGATGGACTTGAATTTGTGATCCTCCTGCTTCAGCCTCTCGGAGTGCTGGGATGACCAACCTGCACCAGGATGCCTGGCTAATACTTTTTTTTCATCCCCATCTTCCTAAGGCAGTAGTGCTTAAGGTGTGATAGTAAGGTAAGAGTAAGACCCCATGTACCCGCTCTGGGGAAACAAATACGCAGTGGTCTCACAGAAATGTGAATAAAGGCAGAGATTTCAGATTATTTCAGTAGTCAGGACTGGTTGAAATTATTTTCGCATAAAACTCACTTTTTTTCCATTTCACTTCTCAAACGCACTGGAAGAGATAAACTGATTTATTGCCTTTCCATGACTGCTGACTTAAAATTTTTCAGTGTAATTGTATCGACAGGGTTTTTTATACTAAAATCCTATAAACAAAAGGAAAAGACATATTGTAGTATTAGTACTCAATGAAGAATATTTTCAGGAGAGGATTATTAGACGTGGTTGATTTCAGCAAAGAAATGTCCTACCCACATATCCCTCGTGTGGATAAGACTGAAGTGCTTGTCAGCAGGTGCATTTGGCTCTGGATTAAGGACTACTGGATGTGGGCTGTGAAATAACACACACACATATCCTATAGTTATTAAATATAAATTGGCTTGTGCTAGACTTGGAAGAGGCATTTAGTGTGCACCTTGAGGTTCCTTTCCAGCCTTTGTCCTGTTTTTCAATGACTGGTAGAAAACATGGAAGTAATCATCTAGATGCATCAAGTGGGAAAACAAAAAGCTGGCAGACCAAGGCTACCTTAGCCAGCTGGAGCACTAGGCCAAGACTAGCAAAAAGAAATTCTTCTGGGTTTAATACTAAACCATACACCCAAGATCCAAGAAAGTGCCTGCATGAGTCCCAGGGAGGGAGCCTGGTCACAGCAGCTTGGGTCAGAGCCAGCAGATCCACATCCACAGATCTCCAAATTGAAGAAACGACCTTGGCTCAGGCTGGGTGAATGAAGCACAGCGTGGTTTTGGTACCTGTAGTATTGTTTAGAAAGTGTTGGCACTAAAGGCGATTCTCCCACTGTAAAAATGAGCAAAGGGTATCAACAAAATGTCATGTTACAATAATTAGGAGACCGGAATAATTACCAGTAAGGTTTCTCAAACAAGACAAAGCCAAAAGATAAAGGATTTAATGTGGAAAAATAAAAACTAATGACGAAGAGAGTATTGACTCTTGAGGGTTTACTAACAGCAGTCCCAACAGCCACCATTTATTTAGCGCTACCACTATGAGTGTCACAGTGCTACCTATCTGTATACTTCATATTAACCCATATCCCTACTGGCAATCATGCCCAAAACACAAAAGTGTTTTTCCCCATTTGACATGGAACAAACAGCAAGCAGCATGGGAATTTTGATTAAATAACTTTTTCCTCTTTTGCTGTGCTTCATTTGCTTAAACCATCAGTGATTTATAACTTCCTTTGACTCTGAATTAGCAAGTATTCCTTTGGCTTCAGGGGTTTTTCCCAGGATTACACGAAGCTGCTTGGGATGGAAGGTCCTCTGGGATGGGAGATCCCAGTGGTGACCCTGGATGTCTGTGACAGATGCTGAGTGCTGGCTGGCACTTTCTTTTCCAAGCATCTTCTCCCCTAGAGGAAGCTACAATATTTTCTTACTTGACAGGCACAGGAGGGCACCCCAAGGGGACCAAAGCAAAAATAGGAAAGACTTCTGACTTCTAAGCTCCAAAACTTTCCAACATCACTTTCTCCACCTCTGTCGCCAAATAAAGTTCCGAGTGTGGCCGAGTTCAGGGAGCTGAAGAAACAGATTCAACCTCTAGATGGCAGGTGTTGCGCACTGTTGTTGCAAAGGAGGCACCCACTGGGATGGGAGAAATCTGTCACAGAACTCAAACTCATTTACTTTGTCTGTGGCTAACCCAGGAGTTGAGCCCAGATCTGCCCAATACGTAAGGCCGTGTGCTTCCCACAAAATATACCACCTCTCATACCTCAGGCTTCACATATTCTGTGTGTTCCGTAAGGCAAAACTTGGCCCTAAACCTGCATCTGATTTGGAGGCATATTTCAGCTCAATGTAAGAAATGACTTTCTGGAACTGCAAATGTTTCCCAAGAAGGGAATGAACAGACATAGTAAATGTTTCGTCCCTTCAAATATTCAGGCAGAGAGAGGTATTGACTGGAGAAGCTGCAGAGAACATGTGTGAATCAGGTGCTAGACTTTGACCTTTAAGTTTTCTCCCAAAATTTATATTCCACAATATATGGTAGAAGGTACTAAAAGTAGAAAAACTTGGAAGAAAAATAGAAGATGTTATTTGTCCACTTTAGTCCCGAATGAAGAACTTTTAAAACAATAATTTAAAATGAGATCTTAATGCATTTAAAACACATGACAAAAATCAGCATCTATTTATGGGAGAGTCTTTTAGAGAACCAAGAATAATGGAGAACTTTCTTAATGTCATAAAATGCCTATTAACCTGGAGCAGACTTCATGATTAATGATAAACATTAAAATCTTTCCCTTTAATGTTGGGACTCAGATATAAATCCTTGCTATCACAATTGCTATCCATTAATGTTCCGAAAATTGTAGGTAGAAAGGTAAGGCAAGAAAAAGATGAAAGGATAAGAATTGGAAACATAAAGCTAGTGTTTATCTCTGAGAGGAAAGAGGCAGCAATGGTTTAGAAGTGGCCCTCGGTGAGTATTTCATGAGTATTCATATTATTACAGTTTTTGTTTAACTGCACATCTATTTTCTATGACTTCTCTGTATATTTTAATTTCACAATTTGAAAAGATTTTAAAAGTGAATAATTGTAGTATAAGGACACAGGCAGAATGAGGCAGACCAGGCTGTTCTCTAAAGACTTTATTGTCCCTTACAACAGGCACACTTTCTAGCAAGGTCAATATTTATCCAAGACTCATTCATGCAATTGATGGTGAGGAAGAAAAGCAATGGACTCACTATGTGTAGCCTGACTAAAGAAAAGAAAGTTTACAAACCACTTCATGTAGCCATGGAACTAGAACTGAGACCAGCCTCTCCCTGAACAAACCAACGAAGAAATGTGCAAACACTGCCCTCCTGAAACCTACCACCTTCTCCAGAACAATTGTTTTTCATGGTTGTCAAATAGTTAAACATCTTTCCTATGAGGAGAGACCAGCCTGCTGTTTATCACAGAACCCAAAACTGGCAGAAATTTCCTATCCCTCTGTGCCTGAAGCATGTGGCTGTGTGTCCAGGCTGTATCAAGTTGACGAACCTGTGCCTGGATCTTTAGGAAGTGTCCAAGGCAGGAAGCTGTCAGGGGTGACTGATGGCAGTGGTAGCATCAAGGGTCCGTGGCTATGACAGTCAGTGCCACTAATGTCCTGAGCAGATGGTGCTGCAGACTGCTTTTGCTGGTGAACCAGGTTTCTCACCTTTCCCCATTCCTGCATTTCTCTGAGTCCATCTCCATTCTTCCACTAATTCCATGGAGTTTGAGATTTTAAAATTTAAATGGAACTCACTACATTTTGTTCATTGCCCAAGAGTAATTACAAAGTTATGGAATCTTCCTAAAACATAATGATACAGGAAAGAAGGACTCACTGAAGACCTGTTAAAGCGATCCTAGGAGCAAACTACATCATTTTGTGATTCCATCTCTTGGAATGCAGTCTGGTCAGCAGACTGATTACCTGTATTTCAGAAGTCAGGACTAGGAGGGCCAGGGATTTAGCTCAGCGGTTCGGTGGCCTGCCTTGCAAGTGCAAGGACCTGAGTTTAATCCCGGTGCCAAAAAAAAAGTCAGGACTAGGAGGTCCTTTGAGGTAGTTTTCCTCCAAGTTCTCATGCTGGTAACATGTTTGAATGTAAAAAACTTTAATCTTGATCTCTTACAAAGGCTCAGGACATGGGAAAATTGTAGACAACTTTTCTTTCAGAACCACTAGTCCAATTGCCAATGGAGTCCTTGTTCCCAACTGAAAACCTCTGAGCCCGACCTTTACTCTCTGCATTCTTGTCAGCATTATGATCTTCTGAGCTCTGATAGAATCATCCACAAGGCTCTGCTTACTGTGTTCTAAATCTTGTCTAGCTGGCATCTCAAACCTTTTGAACTCCTCTAACGAACCACTTCCAAAGGCTTCTAAACTTTAGGGTTCATATCCCACACCATATAGAAAACTTAACTCAAATAGATCAGGGACCTAAATGTAAATCCTAAATCTATAAAACTTCTAGAACTAAATATAGGACAAAATCTTTATGACCCTGGGTTAGGCAAAGATTTCCTGGACCATAGACCAAAAACACAATCTGTAGTAAAAGAACAAACTGATAAATTAGACCTTAAATTTTTAAAAATTGCTTTTTAAAAGACTCTATTAAGATAATGAAAGACAAGCCCCAAACTGGGACAAAATCCTTGAAATGCACACACTGATAAAAAGTGTATCCAGAATACACAAAGAACACCCTAAAATCAACAATAAAAAACAGTGTTTTAAATAAGCAAGAAAATGAACAGACACGTCACCAAAGAAAATATCGTTGTTGAGAAGAATATGCAATGATATTCAACATTATTCATTATTAGAGAAATCCAAATAAAAACCACAGAAGAGTAGCTAAACTTAAAATGACTGACCATGCAAGCATAGGTGGGCATGTGAAGGAACCGTGATTCTCATATGCTGCTGGTAGGGACATTGGGAAACAATTGCATAGTTTCAAAAAATGTACACTTACAATTTAGTCATCCCACTCCTAAGTATTTACCAAAGAGAAAAGAAAGTGTATGCCTTTACAAAAATTTAAACATAGAAGTTGGTATCCACTTTTTTTATAATGGCCCCAAACTGGAAACAACCCATCCATCCTTCCATGGGTGCATGGATAAAGAGATTGTGACATTTCCACCCAATGGAATGCAGTCAGAAATGAAAAGAAATCAAGTGCCAGTACAAGAAATCACCTGGGTGAATCTCTAGCTGTTTGTGCAGAATGAAAGAGCCAGACACAAAAGCATACCTACTATATAATTCCAGTTTTATAATACTCCAGGGAATGCAGATTAACATGTAGTAATTGGAAGCAAATCAGTAGTTACTGGAAACTGAAGGGAAAGATCACAAAGAGTGAGAACAAATTTTCGGTGGTGATGAAAACCTTATCTCCTGGCTGATGATTGACAATGGATCCAGCAGTGTGGTCCTGGGCAAGTCACCAAATCATTCTGCACCTTTTCTCACTTGTAGGCAAAGACAGAGGTGCACCCCTCTGCACATGTGTGTATGCCCACACGTAATCCTGACAGCTTTATCAGCAAGATCGACATGATAAAAATCTGTGGTACACAATCAAGGAATATTTCTACCCAAACTTAAACTTTTTCAGAGAATATAAAATAAGAGAACATGCTCTAGGTTATTCTAGGAGGCTAAGCTGAACTTTATTTCAAAGCCATACTGTTTGTAGCTTTACATTACTGTGACAAAACACCTGAGACAATTGACTAAAAAGCAGAAAGATTTCTTTTGGCTGGTGATTTTAAGAGATGTAAGCCCATGGTTAGTTGGCTGCATTGCTCCTAGGCCTGTAATGAGACAGAGCATCCTGGTGGGGACCATGTGGTGGTGCAAAACTGCTCACCTCATGGAATCCAGGAAGCAGAGAAATGGACAGAGTCCCATTGTCCCCTTCAAGGACAAGTGACCCAAGCTCTTCCCACTCCACACACCACCTCCCAACAGTGCTACATGCTGGGCCCAAACCCAAACCTCCCAACAGTGCTGCATGCTGGGCCCAAACCCAAACCCTCAACATACAGGCCTTTCCAGCTTACTTGTGACCCAAACTATACACAAACACACACACACACACACACACACACACACACACACGAAAACTATGAGCCAATCTCCTTTATAAGTACAAATACAAAAATTACAGTCAAAATTCATCTTGAATTTCATTCATGTTTTTAGCTGTATGCTATGAAATCAAGATCCTATTTTATCTTTATTTCATATAGAAAACAATAGGCTCAGCAACATTTATTGATATGCAATTCCACCTTCATCACACATAAATTTTTCATTGATGTGAGGTTCTATTCTGTTCTCTTCTGTTGTTTCTGGGTCAGTTTATCCAGTACTGCATTTTATCACACTGTTTCAATTGTTATCACTTTTTAAATCTTGTCATCTTGTACTATGATCTCTCTTTTCATTAGTCTTTCAAACTGCCTTAGCTATTTTCAGTCCTTGCTATTCCATATGAATTACAGAATCATTTTGTCATTTTAATGAAAAATCCTGTGGGTATTTTCATTGTAATCACATTAAAGAAAACATAGCTTTTGCTACATACCAGCAATATCTGATGGTTCTAGGAAAGAATATCATATTTGCAATTGCAACAAAAATATAAAATATCTATTAATGGAATAAAAACAAGAAATGTATATCTTTATGAAGAGAACAAAACATCTGAACGAGGAAAAAATAATGAATATTTGAATTTTTAGAGAAATAATGCATATTTCCGTATTGGAAGATTTAACCTGAAAAACTGTTAATATCAAAATAACTAAGAAATATAGGATCTCAATTATTATCCCAGTAAAGTTTGAACATTTCTTGATATGACTCAGAGGAATACTTTGCCCAACAAGTAGAATTGAAAATGGGTTCATCCCATAATTTGTAAAAGTGCTTCAAGGCTCTGGAATAGTTGAAATATTGTGCTGTGATACTGGTACTGAAAAAGAAATACATCAGTGAAAGGTAACTTGATAATATGGAATGGAATGAGATAGGCCTGGAAGTTTGGGATAGAAACCAGACTCAGGAGTTGTGAAAGAAAGGACTCCATGTCTGGTTCTGTAAGGAGAATGCCATGTGTCTTATATTGGTCCCCTTAACCAATCACTATGGAAAGAATAGGATTGCCACTGGGGATTTCGCTCAGAGGTTCTGCTGCCTGCCTTGCAAGTGCAAGGACCCAAGTTCAATCCACAATACAAAAAAAAAAAAAATGGGATTGCCATATCAATGCAGACCAATCAGGACTTCTGTTTGATCAGGGGCTTGGCTCAGCTTCTCTTCATCCAAAGGCTTGCAAGGATATGGGGCAGCTACACCCACAAAGTCAGAATCAGATGGGGAGGAGAAAGAAGGAACTGAACTGTGTGGGCAACCAGCTAGATACAGCTGCAGCAGAGAACGGATTAAATGCTTACTAAATTGCATTGGATAACTAAAACATTACTTTAAACCCTTGCCTCTTCCTCTCTCTTCTAGATCAGAGGTGCCTGGAGGAGTCCAAGGACCCCGAGGGGAGGTCCAACCATCTTCACCAGACTGTTCACTTGAGTTGGTTCCCGCTGGTAGATCCTTGACTCCTCAGACTCTTCACCCTTCTTTCTCTTCTCTTTCACTCCCTTCCATGGCCTGCTTGTACATTCACTCTTCTCTCCAATAAGCACCATTAGCTTTGAATTCCATGATCTCAAAACACCCTTCCACACTTCACCTGCTGGAGGTGGACTGCAAAATCACCTTCCACCAAGGAGCCTGCGTGAGAATCCTGACTCTTCTCACTGTGTTGACTCAACTGGATGTCATGACTGCCCTAAAGGACTGATTTCCTGAGATCCAGTCCTTCTTTTAACGCCCTTCACCAACAAATTGAACTGAGACTCAGGTCTTGCACTTTCTACATGCACATCTTGTTTTGTTACTTGGACATGGAGTGCTGCAAACTTCTCTACATTACTTTTGGATGTATGTAATGTCATAGTACTTGGCTAAAGCCACCAAAATTGGTCCTGATCTCCCTTTAACAAAGTCCACCTGAGTCCTTGTGGAGCTACAAGCTGCCTTGATCGTCACACTCTCTGGTAACCATGCTGGTGTACTCATTGTCAAACCCACAGGCTCTTCATACCCCTTGCCTTCTTCTCCACCATGGCCAGCCCTAGCCTCCCATGACATACCGTATAGCCAGTTCTTTCTAAGACTATGCTCTGGAAAGGGGCAAGTTCCGTCAAGAGATCACAGACTTCTAAGCCTTCTATCAGCTGTAAGAATGCATCCTCTCCTCCAGCACCAGCCGCTGTGGCCTGTACTTCATCCCTCTTCCCCCTCCCTCATCATCTTCTCTTCTCTTATCATTTCTCTTCAGAGAACCGAGAAACAATATTGGCCTCCCTTTCCTGATGGCAGAGGTGGGAAAAGACACACTAAAATTGCTTTTTTTTCTTCTTCTACTAACCAAGTTAATTTCAGTAGTCTAGAGGAAAACTTAAGGGTAGTTTAGCCAGAAAAAAATCACAATATACTAGAGTTTAAGACACCAGGGAGATCTTCCAGCCCATTTCTGCTCTTGCTGCTCTGTCCTCAAGAGCAGGAATGATGTCAACCCGTGTCCACATTGGTCAGCATATAAAGGGGCCTCAGAGGGATGTGTAGGGGCTGTGGATCTGTCCTATTGCTAGGTGTAGCCTGGGGACCACAGCAGGGTGGTGGAAACCCTGACCCCTTCTCATTTACTGTGTTTGTTTGCCAGGAGAGGAGCCATGATATTTGTATAGTTTAACATTAATTTTTTTAAATTAATTATAAAAATTTAGTGCTTTATAAGGTTCATGTCAGTGGTCAGTCATATCAGTGTCACCTTAAAGAAAAGGTAAATTTTATCCTTGAAGTTTCACTGAAGAAAATGAGAACTACTATCGAATGTTTGCAATAGATCTTTTATTGAAATATTAGTTTCATTACATGGACTTTGACACATCTTTAAGCACATCTTCGGCTTAAGACTGGGATGGGGCACTGCAGAGGACCAACCAGCAGCACAAGGAGTGTGGAGCCAAAGCACCGACACACAGGGAGGAGGTCCAGGGCCCAGCATATGCTCGGGGCTGGCCACTGCATGAAAGTCCCAAGAGAATCTACAAGGGTTGGTGGGTTTTTTTTTAAAGGCTTTGGAATGTCTAGAAGTTAAACCAAAGTACCAGGCTTTAAACATTAGGCTCACATTCGGGATTATATTTTAATAAACAGTCTAAAAATCTTAAGTGGATAGATCACTGAAACTATAGCTTGCAGCTAACTTACACAGTGACTCTAGGATTCTAAAATAAAAAGCTAACCTCTGATCTAGAAAGCATGTTTGAATCTAAAATATGCTTTTGAAAAGCACTCTGCGAGACTCACTGATGTGGACAAAATTGTTTATTTATGCATAAACCATGACAAGATATTTTGGCCATTGTACTAGTGTAGAACAAATCTAATTCAGCTAATGCATCTTCAAGAGGTGATGAGAGAAGGGGCCGTCCTGGTGTCTGCCAGAGAAAGGCCTTTGGGCAGGTCATGTTGAGATGCAGGCAGGGAGTGGCAGAAGAGTTCTTGACATTGGCTTTGCTTCTGTTTGGTGGACCGGCCACCATAACAGAACAGCTCTGCATGCCTGGTGCTTTGCCTGAGCTAATCACAACAAATGCACCAAGTTCTACTGCAGACAAATCAGCCTTCCAAGTCTTGGCTCCTACACAAAATGTTCCTATGCTGGGTCTTGCTATCCCCATAGCAGGGTAGTTTTAATTGGCACTGACAATAGCTGGAAAAATACTTAAAATGTGCTGTTCTGTATGTGTGTGTGTGTGTGTGTGAGAGAGAGAGCTGCTGAAAGCAATGATTGAACAATTCTCTCTTTAATGATGCAAGCTGTTTCTTTACCTATAATTGGGTCTATGTGGTAAGATCTGGTAACAACTGAGTGGTTCTGAGAACCATATGGGTGTCCACATTGAGCCAAATTCCTGAGCTGTACATTTTTACCACCTTATGTGCTTCTCTTCTCATTTTCCACCTATCCTGCAAGGCACAGAGACCTTCAGTACTTGTGTTGTGTCTCTTTGCCAAGAGTCCCGAAGGCCACATGTCCAGATGACTCTGTGGTTCTTGGCACATTTCTACTATTTGCACAGCTGTTCACTAGAGCACAGTGACCAGCCAAGGTGATGTTGCCCTCAAGAGACACCCGGCCAGGTCTGGAGACATTCTGGTTGTCACAGTGAGGAGCAAGGTATTCCTATCATCTGGTGAGCTGCTAAATATCCTACAATATACAGGGCAGATATCCTCACCTCAGCAAAAATCACCCAGCCTCGACTGTCAATGGCACTGACGTTGAGAGCTTGTCCTAATGGAACCACAAAAATAAGCACTTTATAAGATTTTTGTTGGGGTTATTTAGATCTATTTCTAGGAAATGTCTTTATAGAATTGGCATGATATGCAGAGTTTATGTGGCAGAATGTCTTACTTTACGAATGAGTTTAGGAATCAGGGTTTATAGAACTTGTGGGAATCTCAAGGAGTCATGCATCTTTCAGTTAGACTTTGCTCATTGTGTTTATCATTTAAGTATGGAGATTTTGAGGCTTCAGAAGTTTCAAGAAATAAATTTATATTAGCTACCTTTTATCTTGTGACGTCTACCTATGCCAGGCACAAAATCACTTTAATACACTCTGCCACTTCATCTTCACCACAGTCTTGCAAAGCAAACATTACTGATCCCATATTACAGATGAGGGAACAGAGGCTTGAGATGGGGAGCTACTTTCTTAGGGTCACACTGTAGTAAATGATGAGATCTGGGTGCAAACCCAAGCCTGTCAGACTCAAAGAATCACTCTTCTGTCTGCATGGTTCCATCCCTAGGGATTTTTCAACCATGGAACAAGTACACCTGGGCTGCATGACAGGAGAAATACATGGGAAGAAAACAAGAATATTTTCCTCTAAAATGTGGCAGCAAATGTACTAAATATCTGCTTCCTTCTTTGGGTTTCTTCAAAGTGTTTAAAAGGGTTATACAGATTGTTTCTATACATCTCCCATCACCCAGAAAACTCAGGCAAAGAAGAACCCAGACGTTTCTTGAATCACCCAGATCACTGGAAGGCAAATCACAGTTTGCATCCCCTAACATCTGCAGGCCACACTTCCAGCCTGAGAAGCATCACTGCAGAACCCTTCGTTGCCCATCACACAGGCAGATCTCTTCACGTTCTCACAAGACTAATTGGGAAAAGCTTTTTTGTTCTATAGATACATGACACTCACGTCCATGTTAGTTAGCTTTGTTTTCCACAAGACTTCCACCCAGGGCCTGTGTTGGGGCCAGGGACTGGAGAAAGTTTCCTTCCTGGTCAGGGCTCCTCCCAGTGGCTCCAGTGGGTGACAAGTCTGAAAGGGGTGTGTGGAGGGATGTGTGGGACTTTGTGCACACCCACAGAGCCTGTTTCTGGAGAGCTGAAGGAGCTCTGCCATGCTGTGTGACTCCCGCAACATAAAGTGAGGCAGGTGCCACAGGCCAGGCCTTCTCTGTTGAGAGAATTTTGCTTCTACTCCATTGGATTAAACCAGATGTAGTAGCTTAGGGGTTGGCTTTGAGGTTTTGCACATTCCAAAGAATGTGAAAGCCATATTTTCTTTTTAGGCACTTTACAGATAACCAATGACATCCTTCAAATGGCATCTTGTGATAACTTCAGACATTGTGCTTGCTGTGTGACCTCCACACTGCAAAGGTTTTCTTCTTTCGGAGAACTTTTTTTCTTGTAATTTTGTCTCTAAAACCTAATTTTCCTGAGCTCTTTTCAAGTAGGGCTGTACAATCCCAGGGATTATTACAGCAGTAAATTCTCTGAAATAATCCCTGTTTATCTCAGAAACGAGGCAGCACCTGTCTCCATGTCCTCAGATGTGGCCACACCAACCTTAGTAAATAATTAGGATGCAGAGCTTCAGCGTGGCTTCACAGGTCCGGATTTTTGGTCCCTCCCATAAACCATACAGACTTAGAGGGGAAAGCCATTCTAAAAGGTGCTAGGTCTTGATTTCCCCAAAGCCAGACAGCTGCTTCATCTGCTCGACTTGCATGGAATGCCTTCGGAGGAGCTTCTTTGTACTTCTCAAGTCAACTCTCTTTGGTGAGCTTGGAGCAATAGGAACCATAGATTTTAAGCCACTAGCAAGTGGGGAGGAAGGTTTGCCACCAGGTCTAATATCTGGGATTGGCGGATTCAGATTCACATTTAAAGGTGGAAGGAAGCCAGGCCTAGTGTGAGCAATGCGGTCTAGGAGCAGAGTTCCAGAACCTCGTCTCTCTAGAAGGTGCGGTGGGGGGCGCACTGAGCTGGGGGAAGTGCTGGTCATGGCCTCCAGAGACTCCTGCGAGCCCTGGAAGAGGGATAGGAGGGAGCCATTGAGCTTCTTTCTGTCTGAGGGGACTTTGCCTGACTCAAGGGGAATAGGGTTGGCTGGGTCAGGGCTTGGCTGTAAGTCTGGATCGTAGAGATTGTTTTCCAGCCATTTGAGGGAGGCTGGCTCTTTGAGAGAAGAGGATCCTAATATGTTGGCCCCACTCCTTTCTTGGTCAACAGGGAGTGTTCCTCTCCAGGTCAGGCGAGGTTGGGGAACCGGGCCTTTCCAAGAGGTTGGTGCTGAGGGTGCTGCAGCCTTTAGAATCTGCTGCTCTGTGACAGTAGGGAAGAGGGCAGGGTCTTTGCCATCGATGCTGTTGGTTCTGGATAGGGGCCCCCTCTTAGGAAAGGACATATCACTGAGGTTCTTAATGACCTCGCTGTCTGTGCTGGTACCCTGGGTTTCATCCTGATGCATGGAGGAAGCCAGCACAGAGGGTGCAATCAGGCCCCACGGCTCAGACTGCAGCCTCTTCAGTTGGGGCAAACGGGCCCTCCTGAGGTTGCTAACTTTCCTACTGGGTGATCCAGGCTCAGTAAGGACCTTCGTGGTGTTACCACCACTTGAGTGTCCAGTCTGGAGGCTGAAGAAGTCATCCTCTTTCTCACTGATTGGAGCCTTCAGCTCAATGTCAGAGGGGGAGGCACACATGGGAGGTGACTGTCTCTCATCTACTTTGGGTGAAGGAGGGACGTTGAGATACTGTTTGGTAGTTTTGGTGCCTGAAGATGACTTATCTGTTGTTATGATAATCACTTCCTTCCCTTTGGCTTTGCAGGCGTCAAGGAGATGTTTCAATGCATCCTTATCATCTGCGTTTATTGCATAAACCAGAGCTGAGGCCCCAGTGCGATCCTCAAGGCTAGGGTCTGCTCCGTTCTCCAGCAACAGGGAGACCACATCTCCCCCAGCTCTCCTGATGCAGGCGTGGATAAGTGCAGTCTTGCCAGATTTATCCTGTATGTTGGGGTCCGCCCTGTTGTCCAACAGGTACTTCACCATCTTGGACTTGCTGATACTCTGCTGGTCCACATGTTTTGTGATGCATGCCACCATGAGCGCAGTTTCACCTTTGTCATTGCTCTCATTGATGTAAGCACCCCCTTCTAGCAGCAGCCTGGTCAGCCGGAGCCGCCCCAGCCACACAGCCTTCAGCAGGGAATTTCCATCAGTCCTCAATTCAGTGTTGTCGTCCATCATATTAGCTACAGCGGAAAGTCTCTGAGCCAGAGAGGCGATTAGACCTAGCAAGGGAAGAAGGGGGAAAGGTTATGCATCCTCTCACCTGTCTGTTAGTGTGATCACTCCAGGGCCTGGTACAGTCAGAGCTCAGCCTGTTACCTCAGCGAAGTCATTCAACACCCAAGTCTCCTCATCTGAGTGTGTGTGTGTGTGTGTGTGTGTGTGTGTGTGTGTGTGTTGGGGTGGTTGATAGTTGCTTACCTTATAGAACTATTGTAAAGATTTCATGAGATAGTATAAAATGCTTAATTTCTCTCATTCTAATACTTTTCACTTCTCAGTGGTCCTAGCTAGAATTGTTGAGTTCAGATCTTATACATCCATAAGCTTCCCAGGCTCCAAGGACTAATGAAAGAGAATGTCCATTGGAAATGTACTTCTTTCCAACCCAGCCTGAATCCCTGGCCTCGCCTCTCCAACATCATCTCCTGCATCTCTAGGCCTCATACTCTACCCACCTTGCAACCATCTTATTGCTTCTCAGAGGAACCACTTTCCACCTTCTTAGCACTACTCAGGTTTCTAATTATAAGGTCTTCCTGCTCTTCTTTAATTATTCATCATCCTTCAAACTGCAGCGTAAATGTTACTTCCTTTGTAATTAAGAGGAAAATCACTCAAGAGCCAATGAGAGAATGTAAAATTACAGTGACTCATATCCAGACTATATAAAGAACACCTAAAATCACTTCCTTCAAAAGAGGATACACAAATGACCAATACGCACATAAAAAGGTACTCAGCCTCATTACTCAAGAAAAACTAAATTAAGATAAAACAACACGCCACTACATTCTCACCAGGATGGCTAGAATTAGACAGAATGACAGCATGAAGGATATGAAGTTGAAGGGCAGCAGGAACCTCCTGTGAGTGTGAATTGGACCTAAACAGAACCAAAGTCCCAGTAATTTCACTTTTAGGTTTGTGCCTGTGGTTGATTGTAAAACACGGCCACAAAGTCCTCCCATGCCAGGTATATATGTGACAAGTTAGTCCCATGACTTGCTTTGATCAAAAATAATTTTGTGTGACTTTGGGGGTGAACCTTTGGAAGACCTCGCAACTTTCAGCTTGCTCCCTTGGCATTCTGCTGCAGTATCAGAAATCCTGAGCTGTCCCCCAAGTCCAGCTTGCTGTCAGTGTACAGGGAGATGGTCTCAGACTGTCCATCCCTAACCAGCCCCTAGATGACCTCATCTGAGAGGGCCAGGTGAGGCCAGACACAGAAATACCCAGAACCTACCCTGCATTGCAGGAACAGGAGGAAACAAACAGCTCTTGTTTTAAACCACTCATGGTATAGGGGTAGGGGGGTTCACTGCAACAGATCACTAATAAACAGGTATACCAGAAGACGTAGGTAGTGCTATTCACAAAAGGCAAAAATGGGGGAAGACCTGTGTTGTATCTCTGTGAGCTTTAATGCTTTGCCACTTCTCCACCAGAGAACTAATCTTGTTTACTATCTGAGTTGGCCCCTCCAAGGAACTCTGACCTACAAAGATAGGTCCTTTCTCCCTTAATAATTGGAAAGTAGAATAAAGAAAATGATGAAAAGGAGGAAGATGAAAGCAGAAGGAAGGTGGGAAGAAGAGAGACAGATAATTGGACTCTTATGCTGTGTGGGGTGCACATTACACACTTCTCATTACCTCAGAGTAGAGGGAAAGAGGAAATGAAGCAGAGAGAAAGAAGATGGTATCTCTGGGAGACTGATTCTAGCCCTTTGCTTAGAATCAGCATCCTTGTCCCCAATCTGTCCCTCATCATCCCCTCGGCACCTGAGGAGGCTGCAGGGTAAGGACAGGACATCCTAGCTCTTCTCTGTGGCCAGGAATGTTGGGCAGCCCCTCAAGCATAGCCTTCTGCATGCCCAGGGCTCTGTGTCATAGGCTATCTGTCACCATTTTCTCACTAGGCTTATCAACTGAAATCCCTTAAACAATAATAACACAGGAGCAGAGGACAGAGTCAGGCCCTGATCTCACTCTTGCAGCCCAAATAAAGCATGTCCAGCTAATATTAGCACCAGGCATGCTGCATTTAGCTTCCACTTTTCATTTCAAGAGCACTGATTTTAAAAGGCATCAGTGTACCCTACAGGTTGATGGTAGCCATATGAATTATACGAATGTATGCAGTGTCCCTGGCTTGCATATCCTTGTCTTACCTCCCCCTCTCTGTGCATTGGCTACTTGCCTTGCTTTCTTCACATGTGGGCTCAGCAAAGGCCAAATGTCTCCAAAGTTCTAGGGTCTGGTGGCAGAGGCAGAGGCACACGCCCAGCTTCCATCAACCTGGCCTGGCTTCTCCAGCAGCTGCATGGAGAGGACAGGTCACTCAGCCGTGTCAAGTAATTGAAACATGTGAGTAAGGCCAGTTTTAGGACTAGAAAAAGTGGCAGTGTCTTTTCAAACTGAACAATGCATAATCATCTTAACACGCTCAAATAAAAAAATGAAAACGCTGCTGATCAAGCAATATATGGCTGTGGCTACATCAGCTCTCAGGCCTTAATTTGGAGTCTTGCTCCACAGTATTCTAGCAACGATATATGATGGCATACAGGAAGAAGACCAAAAAGATTCAAAAAGAGATTCAAAAACTCAGCTGCTGTCTTTTTATTTCTTATTTCTAAACTCATGAAGATCAAACAAGTCAGCTCCTCTCAGAGCTGAAAACATAGAAAACTTTCATAATTTTATTAACAATAAAATAATCAAAGGATTGGGGACAAAGACTGCATCTCTATTAGAGAAGATATCTGTTTAATTTTTTGATATTGGTGATATTTTCTCTGTCATTGGAAGGTATGTTAGCTGCCATTATACTGCAGGAGAGGTAAAACAGAAAGCAGCCCTGGGGGTTAGAACGGTAGGGGATGGTGGGGTTTATGATAAGGAAAGAGCTAGCAAACTGCCCACTTCTGAAACACATGGAAAAGAACCAGTTTGACATTGCTAAGTTTTTAAGATAAGATCACAGTGCCTAGAGCAGCCAAGGTGGATGGGATTTCAAAATCCTTGAGGTGTATCAAATATTTTCAATATGAATTGCTTTCTTTTCCTCCAACCAATAAATAGGAGACCCTCTTTAAGGTATTCAACTCTGGGATCTCTTCCATGAGCTACATCCCTATCCTTTTTAGGTTTTATTTTGAGATGACAGAGTCTCACTGAATTTGCCAAGCTGGCTTCAATCTTGCGACCTCCAGAGCAGCTAGGATTATAGGTGTATGTCACCTCACTGGGCCTGGCCTCACAGAGGTTATGTAAAAGAAAAGCTCCATAAACTTTTTCAAATATCTTCTCAGTTCTTCATTCCCTCTCCCCACAAAAAAGGCTTGAGCATATGCTTTATTGCACTTAATACCCCAGAGCAAGTTTCTAGGACTTTATAATATGCATAATTTGTATTTGGCTTATTTCTAGTTATAGCTGTCATCTTGTTTCTCCTCTACTTTCTCAGATACAACTATGTATAAGCCCAACATCTTCTGAATCTTAGTAAATTGTTTTAGTTTCTATGCTGAACAAAATAGGATATGATCAATGAACATTTATTAGGTTGATCCACCTGAGATTGAAGTTTCTGTAGATCAAAAATGGCTTTAAAACTATCAGCTGGACATGTTTGTAGTATTTGTCAGAATTTGCTTTTAGTGCTGTAATTGTCCTCTACTCTAAACCTGTGAAGAAGCATTGGTCTGTGGTAGGAAAATGACAGGGAGGAGCTGCAGGAGACCTGGATTCCAACACTAGCCCTGCCCGGTGGTACCTGAGCAAGTCAGAGCAAGCAGCAACTGGCCAAATGAACAGAATCCCTGGATCCTGCCAACCTTACGGGATTGATAGAAGGCTCAAACGAGAGGTGATATGTAAACACTGCCAGAAGTTCTGTAAAAGCCTGAAGGGTCATTACCCTGAACTAAGCTCTCTGAACTCCTCCCGCAGCCCAGTCCTTTGCAAGGTGCTGCCTCGTGCAGGACCTGTCCCCTTGCCTCCCAGTTGCTGCCACCTTCCTTCCATCACACTCCAATGGCAACCCTCACCCCCACCACCGCCTCTTGACCAGCCTCCCCCAAAGCGTTATGATCCCGATTTTACAGATCTAGAGCCTGGAACTCAGGCGCAGTTAATTTTATGCAAGCGCACAGCTTTGATCCCAACTCTATTCCTTTGATCCCAAGCTCAGAGCTATTCCACGGAGGGAAGCCTTCTTGGGCACATCCTCCCGCACGGCAGCCTGGAGTTTAAGAGCACAGCCGTAATATGTGCTGGCTGTATAGACGGGGGCAAGTTTCTCAGCCTCTCTTGTTCCAGTTTCCTCGTCTGAGAAATGGGGATAATAATGATAGTACACAAACTATGAGTGTACTATAAGAATTAAGCAACCTCCGTAGAGCGTTTAACACAAGGCCCCGGAGCATGGTAAGCGCTTTATGAATGAATGTTAGATGGTTGAGCAAGTTTGGGAGCATCTTCCAAAACCCAGGAGGCCACGCGATTCAGAGGCGGCATTCGCAAGGAGCTGGGGGGGATATCGATCGTTATACTCCGCCTCTTCCTTCTGCAGTCGCGGAAGCAGTTAGAAGCAGACCAAAAGCTGAATTCCACGTTTGCTCTGCCTTCAGAGCTCATTCTCGAAGGCCCACCTCAGACAGCGGCCCTGCGCTGCGCTGGGAGCCAGGACCGGGAGCTGTCCGCGGTGCTGACACGTCTGCGGCAGCAGGCCGGGGTCTAAATGGTCGGAGAGGGAGTCAGGAGCGCGGCCCGGCGGTAAGTTCTCCTACCACTTCTCAGAAAGGCTCCGATGCACACTCTACAATCTTGTGCAAATTTTCAGGATCATAACCTCTCTCGGCCCACCCCTCCGGATTTCTGCAAAAATCTGAATGATCCCTCTTAGTTCCTGCAAAAACCCAGCAGCCTGTTGTCACTCAGCCCTACACTGCAACCATTTCCTACAGAAATTCAGGTCCCCGCGTATCTCACCGCGCGCGTCAGTGTAAAAATAAAAACGTTTCAATCGCCCTCCCTTCGTCCCTCTCCCACCGCTTCCTGTGACACAGCGGCTCTCCCCCAGCCCGCCTCCTGCCTGCCTGGCAGTGGACCTGCATCCCCGGAGCCAGATGCCCCCCGGCTGGCCACAGACCCGGGGTGCGCTTACCTGGCGGGGCCGCCGGGATCCGGGCCACCGGGGCCTCAT